TTGTAGCTGGTGTCTTTTTCCCGAAGTTTACGTCTTTGCATAGGTGTCAAGTCTGCACCTATAAATGAGTTTAGGTCCCACAGATTTCTGTTTAATTCGGGATTTTGTAGGACAATCTGAGCTTCCGTCTGTGAGTAGACGGTTACTAAGACGGGTTTATTTTTGCTTCTGGAGTGAAGTCTTTTAGTGTTAGCTACTCTGATGTTTAAGCCACACGAATGTATAGAATTTTGAATTGATGGTGTCGGATTAACGGTGTGGGGTATATTGCGGATAATTAAATTGAGCCTGCGTTTCGATCTACCCGCGACTTCAGACGAAACCAAATGTATAATCGATTCAATTTGTGGTAGACTCGTTAGGCTGTTCGTTAATGTATTTGAGTTTGTTAATGAATCGGGAATCGTAAAAATATGTTCATGTCTCTCGATGAACTTCTGTAAACGGACGATGGCCAAAAGATGTACTTTGTCGACAGCAAACGTAACATCGGTCATGGCTAATTGGAGAGAGTGTAATGGATTTATGTGGTGTTTTCGACATCTAATAAAAATTGTTGTAAAATCGACGCTGAAATATGTCAAATATTTCAGTTATAAATGAATTTCAACTTATCTCTGGTCTGAGGATTTTGAACGGTTGTGCACAAACGGGCTAAGTATGGTACACGGACAATGGAACGACAAGAAATATTTCACACCCCAAGTACTGTGAAATAAAACATATTAGAAGCGTGCCCCTTCTTTTTCTTCTTTGTCTTCCATTCCATCAGACCGAGCTACAGCAACGCATGGCCGGTCCAGCTAATTTCCTTAATAAAATGGTCGAACTGACCCATGTTCTGGTGTTGGCAACGTGCACGATTTGGAACATTCATGACGATGGAGTAAATTGTGATCAACAGGTGACACCACTATGTCTCCACAGTGGTAGTGTCACCCGAGCACCCACGCCAACCAGACGTTTGTCCAGTTAATTTATGAAATCTAAGCAGTGAACAGGCACCTTCAACCAAACAGTTTTTAATTTACTTGGTGTTCGCTCACCTTGCGATTTCCTTCGAGGGTGAAGTCAGAGTCACGACTTAAAGAGGACAAGACGTTAATCCGTCCAGGCGACAGTATAGAGGACAGTCCTGGTCAGCGGCTCGTCCCGTCTATCCGTTCTGCAAACGAGAACGTAGTCCAGCAGTTGTCAGCGTCGCGACCAGGTGTGCACTCACGTTGCCTTCTATCGCGTCAGATTTCGTAAGAAAGTGTTGGTGAGTATAAGGCGGTGTTCTGTGCAGGTTTTTAGGGTGGGGGGTCGTTGTCATTGCAGCCGTCGAGTCCATGAGGAACCAGCTGGAGTTGGGTTCATTTAGGACAATTATGTATATATATATGTATGCATATAGAAGGGTTACAGGCAGAGCCCTTGATGACCCTATTTATGTACAGTGCTTTCGCAGATTCATACTCAAAAATAAAATAAAATTGCAGGCATTTAAAATGTGATTGGGTCACAGTTCAATCGTAATCATAAGGTAGTGCATGGG